AATAGAAGTTCTTCAATTTGATTACTAATAATATTATTAGAGATCAAAGTTAAGCAACTACAGTGTGTTTGAATCTGCCATATCTACGCAATCCAACAATATTGCCTCAAGCACCAATGGTGTAGCGGTATCATTGTACCCTCCCAATATATAGACCCGGGTCCTAATCCCGGTTGCTGCAATCGTTTTGTATTTGAATAGAAGTTCTTCAATTTGATTACTAATAATATTATTAGAGATCAAAATCATGCAACTGTAGAATGGGCGGTCCGGATCCATAGTATGTCATTTTTCTAATGATGGTTTCGTGGAGATTCCAGTTTTTCTCCCCAGCTATCTTTCGCTTCCAAATGAGCTCGAATTTGCTTCGGACAGACAGAGATGTACATGTGACCACACGTTCATCCAAATTATTTAAGTGGCACTGAAGAAGTATTGACACAGTCCCTATTTTTTTTCTACCAAATGCTCAATAGATTTCTACACGCTTCTGCAGTATTTCTTAGTTCTTGAATTTCGTATAAAGGTTATTTGCGATCATTCAAATTAACATCTTGAGGTCATTCAATTCTTATAAAGGTCATTTTCTTTGTTATAGGTCATTTATTACGCTATTATATATTCATTAAGTGATACAAATAGACGAACACGAGCCGAATAAACATTTTCTCACGTGTTGTGTGTTACGAAAATTAGTGTCATACAAACCCATTATGATACTCCGCTAGACCTGATATATATGGTGTGATATTGAGGAGGAAAAGAGAACAATCTAGGTAGAATTCGCAGCAATGACTCAGTGATCAGGTAGAGTCACTTTATAAACGAGGCACTAAAGATTTGATCGACGCCAAACCTTATTTTATAGTCATCAAGAATTGATCAATACCAAAGCTCATCTGTAGACTTACGTAGATATATATGCATATGTGTTCCTTTATTTAATTATTTATCTATTAGAAAAAGTGCTGGATAGAAGCTGTATAAAAATATCGATGAACAGAGTTCTCAAAAATATCCTCTTTTTGGTTTTGATGCCAAATGAGCACATGCACCTGTTGATAGCCTATTCAATACAACACTGTTTATCATTTAATTATATACACAATGTAAACATAAACAGAGTAAGATCATCATAGCGTTTATGATTTCGAATGAAGGACAGGGTTTTGAAATTGCTGGTACAGAAAAATTAGATTTCACTAGATAAGATAATTAGATAATTTTTGGCGTTGATCAATCCCTTGTGGTGGGATGCCCCACCGCATTCATGTTCAACGTGATATCGTGGAGGTGGTTGAATGCGTGCCTGGTCTATACAATGATTTGAGTTGACCACT